AGACAGACAGAGAGAAAGAGACGGAGAGAGGTAGAGACAGAGAGGGACAGAGATAGATACTTGTAGATAGATAGATAGATAGATAGATAGATAGATCAGTAGATGGATAGATAGATAGATAGATAGATACTCAATCTGCGCTAGATAGATAGATAGATAGATAGATAGATAGATAGATAGATAGATCAGTAGATGGATAGATAGATAGATAGATAGATAGATACTCAATCTGCGCTAGATAGATAGATAGATAGATAGATAGATAGATAGATAGATAGATAGATAGATAGATAGATAGATAGATAGATCACCCTTTTTACCGCCCTAGGTCACAATTTGATGTGTAACAATGCAGCACAAATCTGTACTGATGTGTTGCCAGAAAATCGCGCTGTTTCTCTACCCTGGCTATGCTCTATACTCTCAACATCTTTTTCCTCTTATAATCACGTTGATTTTGTCATCCCTTTCCCTCGCGCTATTGAAATGTACCGCCATCACCTTTGCCCCCTTCTCCCCTTCTCCGTATAAAAAGAAAATTAACTGTGATTGTTAGTCTTGGTCATATGCTGTCTGATGAAGTGTTCTGACACGAAAGTCGAAGTACCAGTGGAATGAGACTTGTTTGGTTCATTGCTGTGTAATATTTGTAGATAGATAGATAGATAGATATTATAGATACAATGGAAGCGGTCCTCACCAAGAAAACACAATCCGTTGCTACTCCGAGTTTCTTGAGTTTTTCAATCGTCAGGCAACTTTTCTAACTAAAACAGGGCTGTCAGGTCCACTAAAGAAATACACAACCACACAGCAAGGCGCACAAAAAGAAAGCGTGAAGTGTGAAGAGTGAAGAGTTACTGCTAGGTGCAGGCAGTGTAAAATATTGATATCAATTGTCCATTACTGTGACAAGCGCTGAATGGAGCATGTAAATCTGGAGTTAACTAGCGCATGCCTGGCGTCAGGGGGTGTAAGGCCATTACGGTGCTATATTTGGCGTTAATCATAACAATAATGGTGCAGTGTGTCTGGTTTCATTGGGCATCAGGTTGCTCTGCCCATGTCCGGTTTTACGTGATTCCGTTATACTTAGCGAGCCGGTATTTGTTTGCATGACGACATTTGGCGATGATTTCACTTCGCTTGTTGAGGATTTTGGTCTTGTCAGCAGTGAGTATACGCACCTTCTCCGTGGTGCAAAGGCAACATCTCTTCGTTGCGGGGTTGTAGGAGCTGGCCTTGTCCTTGATTCTCCAGGACAGGTGATACTCTTTGTCGTCGTTTTTCTTTTTCCAGAGGTGTTTGGAGAGCTCCGTGTTAGTGCGGTACTTTTCGTGGCGGAAGGACATCGTGTGGTTGTTGTATCTTGTTTTGAACGTTGTCTCTGCTGAGCCGATGTATGTCCTGAGCTCATCCTGGCTGGTGACGTGTGCTTCATAGATGATGTGAGAGGCCTGGCAACGTCCTTCCATGGGGCATTCCTGCTTTTTTCTACAATTGCAAGGCTTTTCAGGAGGTTCTTGTATCAGTTGCCGCTTGTTGTGCCCACTAATAATCGCTGCGATGTTGGGCATACATGAATAGCTAACCTTCACGTTATGTCGGTTGAAGATCTTTTTCAGGACGTTGCCAGGCCTCTCACATGAACAGCAACTGTGTCGCTCTGTTAGAGCTCCTCAGCACAGCTCAGAGGACCAAAGCGCAGCTCTTCGCAATGAAATACGTTTCCGTGAAGCAAACCCCGCCAAGAGTGCTCGAAATGCTCCAAGAGCAGTGAGCGTTGCACAAGGCGAGCGGCAAGGGTTCGCGCTAAGGTAAGAGTGCTCAACCTAACGACATTGCTGACGCTAGGGAGCATAATACTGTATAGATAGATAGATAGATAGAGAGAGAGAGAGAGAGAGAGAGAGAGAGAGAGAGAGAGAGAGAGAAAGCAAGAGAGAGACACACAGACAGACAGAGACAGACAGAGAGAGACAGAGAGAGAAAGAGAGACAGAGAGAGACAGAGCGAGAGGCAGAGACAGACACAGAGAGAGACAGAGAGACACAGAGAGAGAGAAAGACAGAGAGACAGAGAGAGAGAGAGAGAGAGAGAGAGAGAGAGAGAGAGAGAGAGAGAGAGAGAGAGAGAGAGAGAGAGAGAGAGAGAGAGAGAGAGACAGAGAGCCATACATACAAACAGACAGACAGCGTCAGACAGAAAGACAGCCTCAGACAGACTGATACACAAACAGACAGGGTGCGTGAGGGAGAGGGTGGATGAGAAACAGGGGAGGAGGATTGATTGCGTGATGGCGCACAATATCGAATATATCGTTGTCTGATGATTGGTTCAGCCATGAAACTCGGAGTCACAACGGAATAAATTTGCCAAGGTTTTCATTGTGTGCCTTTGTGTACATCATGTACATAATGCTTGTACCCAGAATTGATTCCACTGTCCCTTTTACATGTGCCAACCCTCCCGTAGAACCGACTCACACACTGTCACAGACATCGCGATGTTGTCACTGTATTCGATCGTATTCATGACAATGGGTCAGTCAGCGTAATTTTTGTTGTCTAATCTTCTTGGATACAGCCAGAACGGGAGATCTCGTGCGGAGGCTGTTTCTGGATCCAGCAGAGGTGGGAGGCTGTTGTGCCTGCCTGAGGAAGTGTTTTCATAGACATTTGAATGAAACTGCGCTGATTCTTCTAAGGGAGCATCTCATAAGTTCGCATTTTGTTTCTAAACGTAACGCATTTCGAAACGGGGGTAGGGGGGTAGCGCCCTTTTCGAATAGAAAAATGACTGTCCGCACATTTTCTGGAACTGTACAATCTACTTCCGTGCTAGATCCTTGCAGCAAATGAGTGTGTTTAGGTGGAGATCTAGTACCTGTGTTTGCAGATCAGCTAACCCTTGCACTGCATGCATGCAGGCTACTCAGAGGTGTCAAATGTCACACCAGCCTGATCAAACCATGTACCTGGCCAGCGTTTACAGGTTTACAGCAGTACAGTTGTTGTGGAGGAACTATGTTTATGTGCGTGTACCTGTCATTGATTGTACATGACTGTACAATCATGTACATAAGCATACCATAGTATGGGGCATGGATGTGTACAGTAGATAAACACAGAAAATGTGCGATAAGACTTTCGAATAGAGGGGGGAGGTAGGGGGGTAAAGTCTATTCGAAATGCGTTACGTTTGCAAAATAAATGCGAACTTATGAGATGCTCCCTAAGTTGATTTGGGGGGCGACCTTTGAATGACTGTGAAGAAATAGTATATCGTTCGTTAGATTCCGCTCTCTTGTAAGCTGTGACGCCGTTGATCTTGAAATGGAGTTCCTGATCGCTGCTGTGGCTTGTTTCATTGGACTGAATGTACCCAGATTATCCGTGGCAATCGTACCATCTGATCACGCCAACACTAATAGTACCGTGCTAGGTACAGTAGCGAGGGAAATAATACCTAGTTCTGATTTGGAACCTGATGATCACCTAGGGACTTCAACTGATGCGCCGAAGCCGCATGGTGTTCAGTGCGAACCCTTCCTGATAGGTGCGTTCAACGTTATGGACTTCGGTGCCAAGGGCGACGGGCGGCACAACGACACGCAGGCATTTGTCGACGCCTTTTCGAACTGCTCCCGAGTCAGCATCATTATGTACGCGCAGGTGTGCGTGCCTAATGGCACCTACCTGGTCGATCCACTGACAATACCCCACTGTGCCAGCTGCATATTTAGAATCCTTGGCAAATTGCTCTCGCCCAGAAAGGCATCAGCGTGGGGCGGTGCGAGAGCCTTCATCACAGTCGAAAGAATGGACAATTTCACCATCACGGGAGATGGGCAGGGATCTATACAGGGCCGGAGCGTGGAAGACGACAAGCAGGATTATCCCTTGAACTTCGGACTGGGAGAGAACATCCCATTGGGCATTAATGGTCCGGCATTGCTGCTTCTCGCGCAGCAAACGTCTGCAAAGGAGGCCAGCGGAGGTGGGTTAATTACTAACATCACGTTTCGTGGGTCCTTCGGTGTGGCCGTGTTGATTATAGGCCAGCCTATCCAACAGCTTGTCAAACTTTGCAACGTGAACATCTTCTCCAGTGGTTCCGACACCACCGATATATCCCGGCTGGTATTCCAGCGGCAGACACACATTTCTCACGGACTCGTCGTGACGAACTCCACGGTGATGGCGTCTGGTTGCACATTTCGCACGTCTGGTGAGAATCTATTCATGCACGACCCGTTGGGAGCCAGCTCTCGAACGGGACTTCATACCAACAGCATGAAATTGATAGGTGGAAACTCAGGTTATACACTAGTACTGCAGGACGGGATGGTCAGCAATGTTACTATGGAGGGAGACAGTTTCCGCGGCACTCTCAATGCTATTCGGATATTAGCCACGCAGGCGGGTAGAGGACAGATGTCCAACCTCACGATTGCAGGGGCTAGTTTTCACGACGTCGGAACAGCGTTCGTGGTAGATGCTTTCTGGTGTCCGGCCTTTCCTCCGTGCCTGAACTCGACGAGCGGCGGTGTAGCGATGGACAGTATCATAATCCAGAACAGTCAGGGGACTGTGTCTAGTGCCGTGGCGGGTGAGTTCAGCTGCTCTCCTCTCCGCCCCTGCACCATACAAATGGATAGCGTTAGTCTGACAGCGAGTAACAGTAGCGATGTGACTGAATTTCACTGCTGCAATGCGCATGGGCATGCGGAGAATGTGTCTCCCAAGCCATGTCTGGTCTGAACAGCACACATGCACCCGCTGGTAGTAGTACAGTTACATGTACATAATCATTACATTAAAATCACATTTGAATCCATTGAGTTCTTTGTCCATTGTTGTTCTCACATTTTCCTGATTGTAATACAACTATGTGTCGAGTACAGTCATACATGTACGTACCTGGTTCGGCTTCAGCCTTCCGACGCCAACTGAGAGACAGTTCATGGAAGGAAGCGTATTCAAGCATTACGGAAGATTCAATACTTCAATCTACATCATACAAACATGTACCCTCGTCTAGGTCGGCGTGGGCAGGTAGACATTTTAATATTTCAGACTACGGGCAGAAGTTATAATGCCATGATAAGAACTTGATGCTGCTTCCTGGTCTTGCGAACACCGAGAGACGCATTCTATTCAATGACTCAATGATTGACTCTCCTCATACTGGTCAAAGGTGCCAGAGATGAAGCTAAGACATTCGTAACAAACCCATAGGCATTTTGTGGACAGCCAAGTCGACAGTGCATGGCACATGACAGTACATAGCCGTTGTACTTGTACACTGTACTAATATACTACTATGGCAATGGTAAGTGGTGGCATAATGCTAAATCAACAAGTGCGAATCGCGAATCGAGTAAGGCAGAACACCCTCAGTACAGCCCTATAATTTCCGCTGGCAAACACCTCATGATCCCTCCAGCAATTGACAGTTCTTACTACTCCAATCCTCACTAATACTGGATGCAGCATCCTTACTACAGTAATACGAATAACGCTATCAAGAAGGATGCTCCATTCATTGCAGTGTACGTGTACATAATATCGATCTAAGAATGAAAGCCAACAAACGAAGCACAGAAGCCATTGTAGTTTTGACTAGGCCTTTCGTACCATTACATTTCAAGTCGAATACAGCGGTGATTGAACCCACAGCAAGCAAGTCCTTATACATTGTATATCTGGCACTTTGGCGGTCAGAGCAGTGGCAAATATAGCACCCAAGTCCAAGAAAGCGTTAGTGGCGCCAACTACATGTACATAATGAGACAATCAATACAGAGCATACTATCAAACAACATACCACATTTAGTACTACTAGGAATGAAAGGAAATAAGCAACATACATGTACTTGTAGTATGTTGTGGATTTCCTTTCATTCCTGAGTCACTTCACTTGAGAGCTATCCTGCATTTACATGTACACGTCGTATTGTACATTGTACGTCTGTCAATTCAGGACAAGATGCGTGGGCCTACCCCTACTGGGCCCTAGGCTCTACCAATACCATCACCAGTGCATGCGTCAATATGCTGTCATGACCGGGAACGAGGCTACCCTCAGGATTCCTAGGTTATTTCCGGAAACATACATGACTATTGTACATGTACCAGGAGCCCTGAAAAAAATATGGAATAAATGTATTCCAAGTACCCATTCCTCAACCTCGCCAAACCCGACAACAAAGCTTTACCAAGTTCGCAAGCACGAGACGTGTGTGTGTGTGTGTTTGTGTGTGTGTGCGTGTTTGTGCGTGTGTATGTGTAAGGGTTCCACTAGTATAACTTTTTCATAGTCGATACACATCGACGGCAAGCCACAGGCCTGACTGGAGCAGAAACTATAGACAACCTGAGCTGACAACCTGAGCTGACATGCAGATACAGTACAATGTAGCAATGCCCGGGCACAAGTCTACAATACCAAAGGCTTCGCTTTGATTTTGAATTTTACATTGCGAAGAAAATTGTTTGTTATAGTTAGTGTACTGCTGTATGGTCAGCAGATTATGGTTTTGTATCGGGATTGAGAGCAGTGTGATTGTAAAAAGAAATGTAAGCTGCAGGCTGCTATGTTTGTCACTTCCATTTTAGCGTCAATGGAGCGGCATTTTAATACACTGTACATGTATATACATGTAGCATAGAGGTTGGCAAACCTCCACTCTAGCTGCTGTGACTGTGTGAGCACAATGTTAAAGCCGCGGAATGTGACGACATTTTTCACAACCAGAGCATAACGCAAGACGTCACTGCTGCAATGTACGAAGAGAGTTGGGCCAGGTGAGGGGAAGCCATGATCTTGATTCTTCCCTTTTACACACAGTCTCCACTCTCCATAGTGACCATACATGTACAGTGCACATGCATGTCTTATCGACGTACAATGCACACGATGATTGGATATTATGATTCGCATACGTAACTCGTTGTCTACATGCACGTACATGTACAAACATTGCCATTGGGTAATGCATGAGGAGAAGCAACTGCTGGCAGTGCTGGGTGGGTGCCATGAGGATATAATTAATGGTCTACATGTAAATAATCCATGTACCGGTGGTGAAAAAATGGAGCTACATGCACACTGCTGATGTATGACGTAAATAATTACTGAATATAACCTGTCGGTTTGAATACACTGTTACTCCAGTGGCAGTGGATGAGGTGCTGCAGTACCAAACAGTGCGACACTGTGAGTCTGATAGAGCTTTGGACTCGGAGTCAGGACATTGTTCGTGGGGATATGTAGCATGTATTGTGCAGAACAACAAGGACAATCAAGGCTTGTTTGCTGAGCAATGAGCATGCATTGTATAATGACTAATGTAGTCCATAGAATACATGTAGACTGTTATACATGTACACACAAACACACGTACATTGTACACAATGTACATGTACATGCACACATAAAATGTACTGGTACATGTACAGCGTACGAGTTGTAAGATCTGGTCCCACAGCTGGAGAAAGGGTGCTCTGCTCAGCATCAAAGATGGAGCAATGAGCCAATGACACACAACCCAGTGAAGTCATCAAGCGATGGACAACCGAGAAATTCGTTTGTTACTCCGAGTTTCGTGCAAAACGCTTACACACACACACACGCGCGCACGCACACAACAACAACAACAACAACAACAACAACAACAACAACAACAACAACAACAACAACAACAACAACAACAACACTGTTTCTCTTATTGGCGCCATGGCCACAGGCCATCGTGAGAATAAAAGAATTCAAAAAAAACAAAAAACAACAACAACAACAACAACGTGAGAATAAAGAATTCAAAAAAACAACAACAACCACAGCACTATCTCTTATTGTCGACTGGCCATCGTGAGAATAAAGAATTCAAACAACAATGCGTTGTGCGTTCACGCATGTACATACATGTACGTAGAGACTAGAGTAGAGGTGTTGTTTTGTTTCTTTTACCATCGGTCATTCATACCAGTACTACTGGCAGTAGAAGGGCCCGCAGAAAAATGAAACGTTCATTCCTGAGGACAATGGCGTTTGGAGATGAATACAAATACGAGTCAACAAGACTAGTCATGACGTACACTCCCTCTCTGGCTAGCTCTCTACCTGGCATACAAGGTACCTTGTACATTGTACATAATATACATGTACATACCTATGTCATGTTTAATACGTAACATGGATTTGTCACATTGTCACACTGTCACGCTGACTGACACTGCCTGAATGGCAATCATAATGTGTCATGCGTTTCTCCATTCCAGTTGGCCGTTTGGTGCAAATATTCTCAAGTGGGGAGGGAGAAAGCCAAACGAGCTCAACCAAACTTCACAGGAGCTCGAGGCGCAGCACTTCTGAACAGGAAAGTACTTGTACATGCATAAGATTGAGAACCCCACACCACTGCACACTGACTGAATGCAGACGAGCCACACAAAACACGAAACCAAACTTTGCAAAGTGCAAACGCACACAGACGGATCGAAGTGAATCATGCACGACTTCCGATTAATTTTGTCGGAGTGCTTTGGACACTATGTGCTGAGGCCATGGCACGAGGAAAACATGGATGCAGTGAATGGGATTTTCGGTCTTTGACCACTTGCTAGCATGCTGGTGAGCTGGTCTACTCACCGCCCACCGCTTTAGAAGCTGCATTCGGCGATACTTGGGGAATTGTGTAGGGGGCAACACACAATTCCCCAAGTACAATACAATTCACATTATTATTGTACACAAAGAGCTGCATTCGCCACTAAGCTGAACAGGCATAGTGGTGGCCTGCGGATGCGAAGGCTAGTTTGTCTTCTGAGTCACTGCTCATGCGTGCACTTGCATTCACCTTGATTTGCGTGGGACAGACCATGCACTTAGCAATTACATTGTACCTATCCACCAGAGAAGTAAACATCACAACATCTTTAGTTGATAAATAGATTCTGTCTTTCCAGATGATGATAAAGGAAAGGGCAGTGAATAAGACGCTCAAGCATTACTCGAGTTGGCATCAATGATAGAGGACGAGAATAGGACGAATGTTGCATAGAGAAATAGAAGATTTGATAATAGGAAAGTTTAAATCGTATACATGTACGCATTGTGAAATTCCTGATAGTGACGTCTGTATTCTTCTCCGAGGTTGTAACCATTGGAGTGTTGGGAACATATTTAATTAAGCGTTGCGGATAATAATAGTCTTTTGGGGTCAAGGTTATATTCGGATAATTATGCGTTATAGATTCAAGAATTGTTCTCAAGAGCTCAACGTAAGTTCTATGACATGGCATTGCTAAACGGTCTAATCATCTTCGGAAGAGGAATCGCCTGCGGCCCGCCCTTGGAGAGTGATCTGGGGATAGCCGCAGTGCTAGCATAGGCGAGACAGGCGATGGCGCTGTTGGTGTGTGACTCCTGGAAACCGGCAGTGTCAGGTGCTGTCTTCGGGCCAGAGAGCCGCCTCGCCGACTGCTTTCAAACCAGCATCGCAGATCATCACCTGCAGCGTGCTTGGGGGTCGTCTCAGGACAGGAGTTGGAGATCGAAACCACGAATAAAACCAGGAGGATGGTCAGGACTGCTAGCACAGGGAGGAAATATAGCACGGGGAGAAGCGCCGCCATTTCCACACAATGCGACAGACAACTGCGGGGCAGGATGGCTGTTGCAAGGCAATGAAGTTCCGCTGATAGGTTCTGATCACGCTGTTCGTTCGTCGAGGAAGCGCTGTCCAGCAGGGCTTTGCTTTCGTTGCAGTTCATAATTACAGACGACTAATTCTCACAGGGTTATAAAGATTCTGATGGATAACTCGGCCTGTCACGGCTTTTATAGTGTACTGGTCCAAGTAGGCGCTCTTGCGCAAGTGTCACGCGTCACTGTCCTCAGCTAGCAATTCCGAGATAGCAAATTCCTGTCAAGTGTCAAGCCACGCTTATGTTTGGTTGCTGCTTGTCTGTGGCGCGCGAGTTGTCAGAGTGCGTACTGCTAGCGACATCGACAGGCCCCGTCTGCAGATCTCGGCCGGGCTGGATTGTGGAGTGCGCAGACCGCGCGTCACAGTCTGCCTGCAGCATGCAGGTCGTCGGACAGGTCAACTCGGTGTTGTCTGGCCGGCGAGACGCGCGCGGGCTTGCAGAGGGTGAGGTCTGCTACAGAGATACAATGTGCGCTGG